CATTCCTGTGCAAATCACATGCGTTGTGATCGGAGCCATACATTTTGTATGGCTCTATTCGCACCAGAAAAGTTATTTTTAATTACTTGTGAGCCACTAGAAGGTGCTCACATGTGTTTCTATATGTGATAGATTAGATCGCTGGCTTCCTTGCCCACCCTCACTTGGTGTGCATCAATAGATAGATAGTAGAAAAAAATTAATATGGTACCGTGCTCTAATCAGTAATATAACATCAATACATAATTTAAATCTGTGAAAACAATAATGTGCCTTGAGTGTGCATATATATACTCAAATCAATAATTACAGTGAATAAAGTCCATATATTCATACACTTTGCATATTTGATTGATATCCCAGTGGTGATCTTAGTCTGCATAAGAGAAAACTTTTCTACAATGTAGTACCAGTCTCCCAATAAATCTATTCGCACCACACCTGCGCCAAAATCGAGCAGCACCCTTTTTTGGGTCCGCACTAGAATCGGATCACATGGGTATTCAGACCTATGCGATCCGATATTGCACTGCGTTTTGCGGACCGCTTTCGGGGTGGTATTATTATTATTATACAGGATTTATATAGCGCCAACAGTTTGCTCAGCACTTTACAATATAACAGGAGACAATACAGCAACAATACAAGAGGGATAGGAGGGCCCTGCTCCTTAGAACTTACAATCTAGGGGTGTTGTTAAGTTAACATACACACCCTCAGCGGTTTGCATGAATGGGGTGCGATTCTGATGCGGTGCGGAATTCGCACTGAAAACGCTGCAAATTCCGCACCGCATCAGTGTGAACCAGGGCTCAAGTGTGAAAGTGGCTGCGTTCAAATCAGCACAATTTCCAACATGTCACTTCTAGGAGCCAATGAATCTATATGAGGCACAGCAGCGTACACAAGCATTTCATCGGTTTTGCAGAACTGGGATAAAGTCCGCCCTCTCTGAAAGATTGTTTTGCAGACTTTGCTCCACAATTATGCAACTCTCCTAGGCCATATGTGAATGTTCCACCTTTTCAAACTGGTAAATAAATACTCCCCTACATGCTGCAAATTTAAAGGCCTTTTGCTCATGTAACTGATGTTTGAGAAACAGCATTTCTGAATGTAATTTTAGGCATTTTTGCATGTAATTTTTGCACGTATGCGCATTCACACGCACAGTGTTTTTGCAAAATCCATTCAAATTTATGCTCATATTTGCAAGTGTTTGTGTGCACCGGTGCAAATTGCTGACCAGGAGTGTTAATTTTCAATTTTCTTTTTTTTTACTGAAGAATACGCAGCACTCGTATACAGGCACATTGTAAGGAACAGGCTGCATTTTAGATCAGTAAAAAAACAAAAAAAAAAAAACAAAACAGAAAAACACTGTACTGAGCTTTTTTCAAGTTGCAGTAAGCAAAAGGCCTAAGGCATTCTTGGGACTAGTGACAGCACACTGTCCACATTATGTGACTCTGATCCAACTGGTTGCATTGCTCATTAATACTGTATACCATATTGTCAGATTATGTCAGCTTGGGTGCAAGCTTGCCTTTCACATCCATTAATCCATATATATGAACGTACTAACAAAGCAAATAAGGACCCATTTTTTCTGCTGCATTTTTTTTTTTTGTTGAAAAATTTCAAAACGCTAAAATGCTTATGTCATGATTTGCCATAAGAAAGATAGTGGGGTTTATTTACTAAAGCTGGTTCAGTCAGAATCTGGTGCACCTATGCATGGTAGCCAATCAGCTTCTAACCTCAGCTTGTTCAATTAGGCTTTAGCAATAAAACCTGGAAGTTGAGGTTTCTATGCAGAAGTGCACGAGACTGTAAGTGAACCGGCTTTAGTAAATAAGCCCCTGGGCACTGGGTGCGACTTGGCATGCAAGTTGCATGCCATGCGACTTGCAAATCGCATGCCAAGTCGCACCCTCTTGTCTGCAATTAGTGTGGTCATATCGGTGTGGTTCCGATTTGGTCGGAGCCACACCGATTTCTAAAGTAGTACATGCACTACTTTTGGTGCTTTTTGCATAAACATCTGTGTCAGATGTCTTGCAAATCGCACCTCAAATCGGCATGACATCAAGACCTGGAAATCGTGTGACTTCACTGTAAGGCCACGTTCACACTAGCGTTGTGTGCAGGCAGGCATTTGAGAAGCGTTTTTACCACTTCCCAAAGGTCTCTGACAATTCTGCCATCTGCAGCACATGGTGCTGTTCTAACGGGAGCGTTAGCGTCGCGTCAAAGCGGACAGCTCTGGTCGAGTCAGGAGGCGTTGAAGCATCCTATTCTAGTCTATGGTGCCGCTCCGCAAACACCTGTCCGGCATTTGTGGTGCGGTTGTGACGCGGTTTCGGGGCGTTTGCGGAGCGGTAACACCACGCTCGGCAAACGCCTAGCAACCGCCGCTAAACCGCACATGCAGCATTTGCGGAGCGTTAAAAAACGCTCCGCAAACGCCGGACCAACGCTTGCCAAACACTGGTAAAACAGTCAAGTGTGAATGAGCCCTTAGTCTCATGATTTCAAAGTTGGGATCAGTGTGACCGGGGGGGGGGGGGTAAACCCCACTGACTGATCCCATCTGAGCGCTGCAGTGCATTTTTAAAAATATGTGTTTTTCTCTGCCTCATATTGGGAGGCCCATAAAGTCAATGGCAGAGAATCAAACTAAGAATAAACAGCCACCCCCACGATGATGCGCTGCATGAACTGTGTTGATTCCTGAGGCCTCCTGGGACTCATGACGTAAGTATCCCACAAGGCTGTGGGCAGCTATTCTTGCCTAGATGAGGAGCCAGGACATGTGTGGATGTGTCCCCCCCCAAAAAAATAAAAACTAAAATTTTAAAGGGAGGTAGGGGTGCCAGAAAGTAGGTGGACAGGGTGAAGGTCCACTTATACAGCCTTGGTCAATGGCTGTTAACCCTATCCACTCCAAATTCTAGATTCAAAACCACATTAAAAACACACATCAAAATGGAAACACACACCAAAAACTCACAATGACGCATGACAATGCACCTGCCTAATGCTACATAAAAACCCCTCTTCTACACACACAGATCGCAATGGGCCCTTACTGCATTCTAAAACATACAAACATACAGAATGCAGGTCACGCCGTGGTCACCATGTGGGTTATGCAGGAACTGTATTATTACTACATCTAACAACATATACATGTCTGATGGTTTATGCTGGCCACAGATAGATCATTTTTTGGTTAAGAAATAAAAAGAAGAAGAACGGATTCCCCTATCCATACATCCGAGGTGGGTGAAGGAATCCTCCCTGCTGTGCTATTGTGTTGTGATTGCAAAACTCCTCCACTGTCAGAATACACCGATCAGCCCTGCAGCCAATAGGCTGAAAGCGCTGAGTGAACAAAAATATGCCAGCAGACAGGACTGAGAGGAGCTGATCATTAGAGCGACTCCTCTCAAACAGAAACAGTCAAAGATGGACTGACATTTGGCCGGTCCCTGCTGAATCAACTGATTTTTGCCCCATGAATGCTCGGCTTTATTCTCTGGCATCCTCATGGTGGCCATACTCGCTTCGACTTTACCGTGTGATCAATATATGATCCGATCAAAACAAATGCCAAACAAACAGCCATAACTTCCCTTCCGACCGATTTAGATTTGAGTCGATGGTGCAGGGTGGTAAATAATATCACGATGCATCGATCGACAGCACGGAGATGCTTTGTTCATGAATTTGATCGGATTCCGATTGATCAGAATAGGATACTGCATGGTGGAAATAGAGATGCAGGATGATATTGGCCAACCATTGATGGAAATCCCGGCGTGCAGCATATTGGCGGAATGGCGTGTGCGCTATACATCCTATGGGGAGGGCTGCATCGGAAGTCATTGATCAGAAGCGTGTATGGCCACCAGATTGGGGAAATGACTTGCACAAAATCCATGTTACTAGGAGCTGCCAGTGCTGCAAAGGTTCCTCCTGCCTGCAGACACTGAAATCAGAGCTGAGCACAGGGCTGGAAATAGCAGGCTGTCAGCTGGATGATGTGCCCAGCATTCCTGTCCATGTTCCCAGGATATAGCTCTGCAGCCACCGACACACCATCACGACTTGTCCTGTCACCCACCTACCTACCTACCTGCAGCTGCCTGCTCCAGCCTGGCATGGTGATCAGCCTCCTCATCCTGACAGCCGATGATCAGCACTCTCAATCCAAAACCGAAATTAAAACTTCACCCTATGTCCACCCCCGATCGAGGCTTCCTAATAACACCTCTTCTGCTTCTTCTTCATCTCACATTTATTTCGTAACAGCCTGCTTCCTGTAATTGTGTGCGATGGGAGCTGTGACCGGAGAGCCCTCCACACAACACCCGGATCTAGTGTGCAGTGTGTGCCCGCCCGACAGACCGTGTGCCTGCCCGCCAGCCCGGCCGGGGATCAGGAGGAAGTTACTTACCAATAGTGAGAGATCGCAGGATCAAAACTAAAACTGACGGCTCCAGATCGAAAGCAAAACAAGGAGAGGAAAGTGAGAGAGCTGAGCCCGGAGAGATCCCCCCTCCCAGGATTTGTTTGTTTCGTGTTTGCTCAGCACAAGGACAGGGAAGGGAGGAGGGGGAGGGGCCTCCTCTCATTGGTGAGCCCGCCCCCCGACGCAGCCATTCTCAGCACAAGGCAATTTCATTTTCACTTCCCTCTCCGCTCCCAGTACGTCACTGAGGAGGACACAGAGAGCAGGAAAGGGCGGCCACCCCGGGCCCTCAGGAGCCACACAGGACAGGGGAGGAACACTTCCCCACATACTGGGCCGGCCATTGTCATGTGTGGTGTGGAGCCTACCCTCCACCCTCAGCTGCTTCACTGACACGGTTGTCTGATGCTTTTGCGTTGAAAAAAGCGGAAGAAATATGTGTGACCAGGGGCGGACTGACAACTCATGGGGCCCCCGGGCAATAGGGGATCATGGGGCCCCTGTGTCCTTGCCCACACTCAAAAAGGTACCAGGGGCATTTCATGGGGCCCCCTACTGACCCGGGCCCTCAGGCAGTGCTCGAATGGTCAGTCCGCCCCTGTGTGTGACCATGTAATCCTATGGAAGGTGGGTGTGTTGTGGGGCCTCTGCATAAGTAAACTCCTGCGTGATGTATTTCTGGTGCAGTAACTCCCCCCTCACCAAAAACACCCCCCCCATTGGAAAACATGGCCAAAAAATGCACCTGCATTGCATTTTTTATGTGGTTTTTGAGTCACGTGGTCTGTGCACATTTTTGCTATGTGAAAGTAGCCTTTAAGAGAGAAGTTTAGGGTTTTATTTTTATAAATCATATTTAAAGTGTTACTAAACCCACAACAGTAAAATCAGTCTGTATATGCAGTAAAGCATGCTTGTTATACACACTGTGGAACCTAAGGGTTAATCCTCTGCATTGTGTAAAAAGGCTGATCCTTTCTTCTCTGTTCCCCCCTTTTTCAAGCGACCACCTCTTATCTCCAGACTGAACCTTAGGCATGCACATGCTCAATTTGGTGTAACTTGCTAGAAAGGTTTTTTTTTTTCTTGGGAGAGTGCATGTGATCAGCGCAGGGCCAATCAGCAGAGGTCAGGACTTTCACATCCTCCTAGAGCAGAACGAAAACTCCTCCTACAAGCTTTAGCCAGTGCTGGGCTGGACACAGAAGCCACTGCTATATATTGCTGATGAGAAAAGGTATTTAGCAGTTTATCAAATATAAATAACTTGCAGTTGGGTAAATAAGCGAATCATGTGACGATAAAAAATGACATAGAAAAGCAGCACGCACATCAGGCAAAAGACATGTTAGTAAATAAATAAAAATTGCAGCGCTAATCAAAAAAACAAAGTCCAGTAAATCGGAAAAAAGTTCCAGTAAAAAAAAGTCTCATATTCCCACGATCCACCATCACCAGGACACCCGAATGGTTAGCCTCTTACCAGAAATTCTGACCGAAACACACCGGTCACTATAAGCAACTCAAATGGGAGATGAATATGTGTAGATCATGGAACCATATCATAGAATATGTGTAGATCATGGAACCATATCATAGAATATGTGTAGATCATGGAACCATATCATGAAATATGTGTAGATCATGGAACCATATCATGGAATATGTGTAGATCATGGAACCATATCATGGAATATGTTTAGATCATGGAACCATATCATGGAATATGTTTAGATCATGGAACCATATCATGGAATATGTTTAGATCATGGAACCATATCATGGAATATGTGTAGATCATGGAACCATATCATGGAATATGTGTAGATCATGGAATATGTGTAGATCATGGAACCATATCATGGAATATGTGTAGATCATGGAACCATATCATGGAATATGTGTAGATCATGGAACCATATCATGGAATATGTGTAGATCATGGAACCATATCATGAAATATGTGTAGATCATGGAACCATATCATGGAATATGTGTAGATCATGGAACCATATCATAGAATATGTATAGATCATGGAACCATATCATGGAATATGTTTAGATCATGGAACCATATCATAGAATATGTTTAGATCATGGAACCATATCATGGAATATGTGTAGATCATGGAACCATATCATGGAATATGTGTAGATCATGGAACCATATCATATGTGTAGATCATGGAACCATATCATGGAATATGTGTAGATCATGGAACCATATCATGGAATATGTGTAGATCATGGAACCATATCATGAAATATGTGTAGATCATGGAACCATATCATGGAATATGTTTAGATCATGGAACCATATCATGGAATATGTTTAGATCATGGAACCATATCATGGAATATGTGTAGATCATGGAACCATATCATGGAATATGTGTGTCATGGAATATGTGTAGATCATGGAACCATATCATGGAATATATGTGTAGATCATGGAACCATATCATGGAATATGTGTAGATCATGGAACCATATCATGAAATATGTGTAGATCATGGAACCATATCATGGAATATGTGTAGATCATGGAACCATATCATGAATATATGTTAGATCATGGAACCATATCATGGAATATGTTTAGATCATGGAACCATATCATGGAATATGTGTAGATCATGGAACCATATCATAGAATATGTGTAGATCATGGAACCATATCATGGAATATGTGTAGATCATGGAACCATATCATGAAATATGTGTAGATCATGGAACCATATCATGGAATATGTTTAGATCATGGAACCATATCATGGAATATGTGTAGATCATGGAACCATATCATGGAATATGTGTAGATCATGGAACCATATCATGGAATATGTGTAGATTATGGAACCATATCATGAAATATGTGTAGATCATGGAACCATATCATGTGTATGATAGATTATGGAACCATATCATGAAATATGTGTAGATCATGGAATATGTGTAGATCATGGAACCATATCATGAAATATGTGTAGATCATGGAACCATATCATGGAACCATATCATGAAATATGTGTAGATCATGGAACCATATCATGCAATATGTGTAGATCATGGAACCATATCATGCAATATGTGTAGATCATGGAACCATATCATGCAATATGTGTAGATCATGGAACCATATCATGGAATATGTGTAGATCATGGAACCATATCATGGAATATGTGTAGATCATGGAATATGTGTAGATCATAGAACCAGCAATCTTCATCCAGATAGATATTAATCCTCCTTTCAAAGATCTGAAAACGGTCCTAAAAGAAGACTCCCATCCAATATTGTGAAACCTAAGGGGTTAATCCTCTGCATTGTGTAAAAACGCTGTTTGATCCTGTCTTCTCTGATCGATTCCATGATCTACACATATTCCATGATATGGTTCCATGATCTACACATATTTCATGATATGATTCCATCATCTACAGTGGATAGAAAAATAGACATGCCCTCAGTACTTCATTCACCAAAGATATATTCTGATGCATTTGTAGACATCTATAGTGGTTCTCACAATATTTGCATACGTTAGAAAATGAAACAAAAAATGAGGCCAACCGCTGTAAGTAAAATATCTACTTTTTTCTTTATAATAGTGCTTAAAAATACCTAACAGTCATTTGCCATTCAGCTGGGACTGGCCTACACATCATACTGAATAGTGACAAAGGAATTTGGGTCTAAAAAAAAAAAGTAAATTAAAAAAACCTTTTTCACAGATAGTGTGGTGACTTGTGTTTTTCCACCCTGGATCAATGCAGGTCATGGCTAGGACACATAGAAAACAATTGTGCTCTCTTCACACTGCATGCAGCCAGGATTCAGACACAAAACATTTTACTGTACCTCACTGAATAGCACCACAGCACAGTTTGTAACGCTTCAAATAAAGTTAAGAGAAAAAGTAAAAACTGCAGTGTGCTGTAACATGTATCACACTGCACCCTCACTGCCAGTGAACTGAAAACTAAACCTAAGCAGTGTAAACAAGCTTTAACCACTTGCCCTCCAGACGATTTAACCCCCTTCCTGACCAGGCCATTTTTTGCGTTATGGCACTGCATTTCTTTGACAATTGCTCGGTCATGCAATGCCGTATCCAGATGAAATTTACGTCCTTTTTTTTCCCACGAATTGAGCTCTTTTGGTGGTATTTGATCACCTGTGCGGTTTTTATTTTTTGTGCTATAAGCAAAAAAATACTGACAATTCTGAGAAAAAAAACTATATTTTGGACTTTTTGCTATTAAACATGTCCAGTAAAACATTTAATAAAACAAATTTCTTCATACGTTTAGTCCAAAATGTCTTTGCTAAAAAAATCCTAATACGTGTAAATTAAGTGGTTTACGTGAAAGTTGTAGCTTTTTAATGGCGGTATAGATTCTGGGATTTTTTTTTCCTACTAGTAATGGCGGTGATCAGTGACTTTTAGCGGGACTGCAGTGGGCATTCTGAAACTGGGGGGAACTGGTTTGGTGTCACTGACATCCCCAGTGACACCAATACAGTGATTAGTGCTAAAAAAACAGCAATGACACTGGGCAGGAAGGGGTTAGGGAGTGTTTTACTAGGGAGCGGGGTGTGTGCGCTTCACTGTAAGCACACTGATCGGGATGATGGCTGTGCTGTGCACACTGATTGGGATGGCTGTGCTGTGCACAGCCATCCTGAGCAGTGTGCCCAAGCTGACAAGGAGGAAGACTGTAAACAAAACAGTCTTCCTCCCATCGGTGATTGTCGGTAATCACCAGGCATCAGCGGGTAATCACTGGCTGGAACCCGGTGAATGACATCCACGGCCACGAAATGGTGGTGCGGGTAGGACACACACGTGCGCCCCTACCCGGAAATGAATATCACATATATATATGTGATTTTGCGCACCCGTGCCGCCGTGTAGCAGTATATCTGCTATACGGCGGTGAAGCGGTTAACAGTGGTGGCATTGTCCTGCAAAACAGTGGCATTCATACTGTGAAGGGCAGCCCCAAGGAACTTATATGCTGACTTTGCTACGGAACAGTGTAGTAAAAACTACATTTCCCAGAGGAGCTGGCGTGTGGACAGAGGCTTATATATAGGAAATCCTGGTAGATGAGACAGGAAGTGAGAGGGGAGAGATCTGGAGAGAGGAGTTCACTGACTGCGGGAGGACCGGTTCAGGCCATGAAAAGAGAGAAAGAGAGGAGGCAAGGAGAGTCTGTTGATCCCTGACCTTTGGCACATCATGGAGAAAGCTAATCTGAAAGCAGGTGACCGGACGGAACACTGCAGGCGGGATCGGAGAGTGTGGGGAGGCCTTATAAAAGGAGGGCGAAAAACCACCAGTATAGGCCAGACGCCATCTCTCAGGTGAGAGAGTCCCAAGCATTACCAAGAACAGGGAACATTGGCACCTGCTCCACCTTTCATATTTTCCTGCAGACATTTGCGGACATTGCACATAGTTATTAGAAATTGCAGCCTAGTTCCTTTAGTCGCTATTGTCTGACTACACTTAACACAGCCTTATCATCAGAACTGATAGCAGGACAGTCAGCCTACAGGCCGTACAACCACTGTGTTACCATCATTATCAATTCACTCTGCTAAGGAGGCCTTTCCCTATTGTGCCAAAAGTCTTGTAGCCCAAAGAAGAGTTACCCTGTGGCAAAAATAATTTTTACCAGCTTGGCCACTTGTTGCTTTAGATTCACTAGTTACTATAGCCTTAAAGGAACATTACATCTATAAAATTGCTACTTGTAGGGGGAGTGTTATCCTTCCCTCTCTTTCGTACACTGTTCTTTAGAGAGTTAAAGTCCACACTTCTATTCACTGTGCACCAACCGGGCCCTATCAAACGCGCAGAATACTCTTTATTGCCTTTAACTGCTTCAGGGTGGCACGGGTGCGCATATATATATACGTGATTTTTCAGTTCTGTGTAGGGGAGCGCCATTCGCGGCCTTGGCTAATCACCAGGTCCCGGCCGGTGATTCCCCACCAGCACCCAGCGATCTCTGAGGATTTCCAACGGGGGAGAGACCTGTATGTAAACAATACAGATCTTTCCCCTCTCAGCTCCTGCAGAGCCATACAAAGCAGTGTGCTTACAGTGAAACACACACACAGTGCACACAAGTAAAACAGCACATGGTTAACCCTTTGATCACCTCACATGTTAACATCTTCCTGCCCAGTGACATTAATACAATTTCTGTGCTTTTTATTAGCACTGATCACTGCATTAGTGTCACTGGGGATGTCAGTGACACCAAGTCAGTTCCCCCCAGTGTCAGAATTCCCGCTGCAGTCCCGCTGTAAGTCGCTGATCACTGCCATTACTAGTGAAAAAAAAAATCCAATATATACCTCCATTTGTAGATGCTATAACTTTCACGTAAACCAATTAGTTACACATATTGGGATTTTTTTTTAGCAAAGACATTTTGGCCTAAATTTATGACAAAATTTGATTTTTACATTTTTTTACTGGACATGTTTAATAGCAAAAAGTAAAAAATATAGGGTTTTTTTTTTCAAAATTGTCGGTCTTTTTTTTTCTATTTGTGGGAAAAAAAGAACATAAATTTCATTTGAGTGCAGCATTCCATTTCTGCGCAATTGTCAGTTAAAGTAACTCTGCGCCACCATATAGCAAAAAATGGCCTGGTCAGGAAGGGGGGTAAATCCTCTGGAGGGCAAGTGGTTAAAGAACATTGGTTATTTTGGGGTAAACAGCTCTTATTTTAGGCTTTCATCCCCTTGCCATCAGGTCCTGAGGGCCCAAAGTGAGCTAGTCTACCTGTTTGATAGTCCTAGCTGTTCATTGGGGACTGTAAGATCACATCAGGTTGAAGGTATTGGATTAGTTTTTGAAGAGCAGTCCTGCTAATACTAATTGAATTCTGTGATAAGAGTTACCTTTTCAAATTGTTCAAATTGACACAAATAACAATTGATTTTACACATTCCAATTCTGTTTATGCTGTGTAACCAAACCATATTGAAGTTTTCTATAAATCTCTTTCTGGTTTATCTCAATCCATGTGTGAATTCACTTTCTGGTGGTGATTTATTTCAGTTAAGAGTGTTCTGTGGTATCAGCAGGGGTTGTGCTTTCTGAGTGGGGTCCAGATAGCGAAACCCGAAAACAATCCAGCAACTTCTAAGGGGATAGTGCTACAGTAGTAAACACTGAAAATTCAGACCACAGTTCTCCGAAGAGATAAGCATTCACTTCTTCTGCACCTGCAGGATGTTGAAAACTAGGTCCCTAAAACCATACATTGTAATGTCATTACCCCTGCCAAAAGCCTCAGACTGGCTTCAAGAACCACTGCTACCTAATGGTATAGTAATGTTTTAGTATTAAGGGGTCCTGCCTTACTACACAGATGTTTAACGTATATTTATAGACTTGAAGCAAACTGTAACCTGTGTCATATCTCATACAGAAATAATTGAGTGCTCCATTAGGCTTCTGTAATGTTATAATAAAATTGGGTAAAGTTTTACTTGAAAACATTATTAGTAAAACTCTCCTAGAGGCTCAACAGACATAGAAGAAACATTCACCCAATTCAGACATTTAATACGCTTGGGAGATGTCTGTTGCCCTTGTGCAGTGCCCTGTAATTGAGCCTGCTTCAAGGAAGAAACGATTGGCTATGTTGGATGTCCTTGGCTGCTCGCTAGTGACTTGATAGATGCCATGGGATTGAGCCTGCTTCGGGGAAGAATCGATTGGCTGGGTTGGATGTCCTTGGCTGCTCGCTAGTGACTTGATAGATGCCATGGGATTGAGCCTGCTTAGGGATAGAAATGATTGGCTAGGTTGGATATTCTTGGCTGATTGCTAGTGACTTGATGGATATCATGTGATTGAACCTGCTTAGGGGAAGAAACAATTGGCTAGGTTGCATGTCCTTGGCTGCTCGCTAGTGACTTGATAGATGACATGTGATTGAGCCTGCTTATGGAAAGAAACAATTGGCTAGGTTGCATGTCCTTGGCTGCCCGCTAGTGACTTGATAAATGCCATATGATTGAGACTACTTATGGAAAGAAACAATTGGCTAGGTTGGATGTTCTTGGCTGATTGCTAGTGATTTGATAGATGATGCCTGTGATTGCACCTGCTTAGGGAGAGAAATGATTGGCTAGGTTGGATATTCTTGGCTGATCGCTAGTGACTTCATGGATGCCCTGATATGATTGGCTAGGTTGGATGTTTTTGGTTCATTACTAGTGATTTGATAGATGTATTGTGATTGAGCCTGCTTAGGGGAAGAAACAATTGGCCTAAGCAGGTGCCCTGTGATTTGATAGATGCCCTGTGATTGAGCTTGCTTAGGGGAAAAAACAATTGGCTAGAATGGATGTTCTTGGCTGATCGCTAGTGATTTGATAGATGCCCTGGAAAGGTGATCAGGAATTGTTTTTTTACACACTGATTGCTTATACCAGTAATAATCACTATTATAAGCAATCATTTTTTATGAATGACATTGATTCATCCATTGTGTACTATTGTGAATATGTGATTGGGCACAACTATGCACTGTGATTGGTCCTGTCTGTACCATGTGATCACAGTGACCAATCACAGAGATCAACACAAAAGTACTCAATGAATGGCTATGAATGGAAGTTATTAATTTTGTACAATTGCCAAGTGATCTGCTATGACTGGTCACAACAATCACATGGTACCAACAGCGGCCCAGTACACTGATCTGTCATCCACTGTGTCTGGTGGACACAGCAGGTGACAGATCAAGTGTCCTGTAGGGCACGATCCTGGGAGGATAGCATATGATATCCACCCAGGATGGCAGCATGCTCGCTCGGAAGTGGTTTTGCACAGAGCAGCCCCAATCCTCTTCTTTTCGTGTCCCCTGCCAGCGCACCTGGGTCCTCCTCCTTGACCAGTGCCCCCAATAGCAAGCCACTTACTATGGGGGCACTGGTGAATGCTTATTTCCAAGCCTGGCTCTATATGTCCATAAGAAACATAGAGCCACAGCTCGGCCCCCCCCCCCCCCCACTCTCTCCACATTGCTTCACTGGCTGTGATTGACAACAGTAGGAGACAATGAGGAGAGAGAGTCCTGGGACAGCCCAGGCTCTCGTGCACATCGCTGGATCGAGAGGGTACTCAGGGAGTATTAGGGGGAACTGTGTTATATGTGCTCTGTATACAGTGAGTAGGCATTTTTATGGAACCATGTTCCTTTACACCACTCACACTGTCAGCGCAATTTGACTACACCCAAAATGTGGTATGTCATACTGCATGTACCACTTTATTCCTTTAACATTTTTTTGAAAGGGGAGGAGTGTTAAAAAATGATCGGCCCCTGGGTGCCGGACAAGCTAGGTATGCCACTGATTACACGTATTACATTTTTAGCTGATCTAAAATTAAAAGTACTTGTCTTTTTCTGGGATATGTTTAAATGGTGAAAAATTATGCTAACTTGGGTAGATGTTTTTTAACTATTTACCTTTTCTTTTCATTTAAACAAAAGTTTAGCTACTTTACCAGGTACCAAAATCTAAACAAGACAAAGCATGGTCATTTTTATATATCGTTCATTTGTCAGGGTTTATTCATTATTTTTACCTTGTAAAATAAAGTGGCCAACTGAAATGTGATCAGTGTTCTCATTTGCCCTTTTGTTTGGAAAAAGTTTTATATACGTCTCAGTTCACAATAATGAATAACATAATGCCGGCCTCATTTTCCCCAAAAGTTGATAACAATATGGTCACATCGAAATCTCCTATCTATACTAAGCCAGTCATGGAAGTTTTTTTTATAAGCTTTTATGTAGCAGCGTTTTAGTAGTATTAGGAGCCTTAGTATTTTATTAGTGTTTTTACAGTACTTGAAAAAATAAAAGCTGCTAGGAGAGTTTTAGTAGTGTTTAGAAGCACTTAGGAGCTTTTAGGAGTGTTCAGCATTTTTTCTGCTCCCAAACACTTGAAAAAAAAAATTTTTTTCTGCTCCCAAACACTTGAAAAAAAAATTTTTTTCTGCTCCCTCACTACCATTTGTTTGGAACAAGCAGTGCATATTAGTTGTGGTCATGTGCACTGCTTTATTCACGCTAAAAATCCCACAGTCCATAGTCCCTAGTTCATCTTAGGAGCTATCAAGAGAGGGTGGCTACATTCCTACATGCAGTGGGATCATGCAGAACAAACAGCCACCCTCTAACAGCAAGTCTGATCACAACAGCAAAAGAAAAATAGGTATTTGGAGAAGGCTGAGAGCAAACCAATGTGCTTTTTAAGTAAGGAATGTGTACTTGAATACATTTTTTAAACCAGAATTTAGAGTTGCTTTAAGGAATATTAAGAGTACTTTGAGGTCCAGTGTCTGTTGCATCCTCATATTGCACTCAGTCTTCAAGTAATCCAAACTCTGCACTGTACCAAGTCTGAACACGTATTATTGAGGTACTGATTCTTGGTCTTAGGCCTTCTGGAAATAGCAGGCCTTGGTGACTTGTTAAGCAAGTGCTCATCATATTGAACCCAATATTTCTGATAGGCCTCCTCTATATGTGGCTCACTGTATCCCTTCTCTAGGAACTTGTAGTGCAGGTTCTCCTCGGTGGGTGTTACTTATCAGCCCTTTTTTCTCCCGTCTCCGGGCCAGGAGGTGACAGCCCATCTGCAGCACTTAGGCTCAATCTCTGACCATTTATAAAGGAGGCACAGGCTCTGTGCATGCAGGCTCTGTGGAAGGGGCAAGTCCCCAAAACGCGTTAGCCTCCTACTGGAGGTCCAGTATTCCTGTGAGGATCACCATAACAGGCAGACCAGACATTGCTGTCTTATGATGAGCTTTTTCACCATTGTCGTTTGTGAGTATATCGCCATTTGTTACTTTTATCAATAAATTGATTTAAGTAATGCACTAGGCCGGTGCGCCCTCTGTTTGTTTTCTTTGTATTAGTGTTCTGGACTTCCCCAGTCCTTTGATAGCAGCAAGGCGAGTAACATCCAGGATCTTCCACACGGATCTGTAGTTACACCGAGTTCACCCCCAAACAAAGGAGTATATGTGTTCAGTTTATGTATTTGTATTCAAGTCTCTGTCCCAGGGTTTGGATATGCATTTTGAGAGTGGCTAGTGTAGGGAGAGAGACCAGCTTGTTAGGGAAATTACTAGTGGTGAGGAAAGGTTCCAGAGGAGAAAGGATAGGCTAAGGACTTGCTATCCTGTAAAGTAGCCTCCCGTCTTGGGACCGGACCGGCCAAGCCACACTTCATATTCTGAAACAGATGCTGTCGGCATCTCTCCATAGCCA